ATAGGCGGCGGCGCTCTTTGAGTCGAGCAGATCTAAGGTCATTGCTTTCCAGATCGATGGGATCAATTACAAACAGAAGAAGAAGGGAGATGCAACGGGATTGTGAAGCGATGGCTGCGGTAGCGATTATGAGCAGCAGAGATGGCGGCGATTGCGAAGCGGCAGCAGAGACAACGGCGATTGTGAAGCGGCGGTGGGATCTAAGAAGTTGGCGAGACCTGCGCAGGAAGAGACGCTCGGATCAGGAGTGGAGTTGATTTTAGGGTTTCAGGTTTTTGTCATTGTATTTACACGACCATATTTTTGTCTAGATTAAAAACCAGACATATTTATGTATAAGAAGAAGCTGATAGTAATATTTTTGTCTTTTAAACGTTATAAACTCATTACTTTTAATGTAAAATACCCGATTTTACGATGACCAATGTACAACCGGCTGTACGTACTGCCTGCACGGTATAACTTAGTTGTAATTCAAATCGCATCTCAATCAAAGATGTTAGTGTACAATTATACATTATTAAGTATCATACAACGAACATATATTATACTCCCTCTGTCTCAAAAACTTAAAAAGGTTTGCAAAAATGGTTTTTCTTGATCAATGCTGACAATCAACTATAACCAATGATATTTTTACGTAGTAAAATAATACGTAGTATATAATTATTTTGAATATGAAAATTATATCAAAATTCTCCTTATCCAAAGCATTTTCATAAAAGTATAAATTTATAAATTATACTCCGTATATGATAATACAAATATAATAATTAAAATCATTGTTTAAAACTTGTCATCATTGACCAAGAAAAATCAATATGTCAAACCTTTTCAAGATGGGGGTACTAATAGATATGGAGTACATTTTAAAATTAAAAATAAAATATATAGTCATATAGAGGATTTGATATCAATATTTCTAAAAGAAAAATTTAGACAAAAATAAGACTGCTTTTAAAAATATTAAAAAAAGTAATTTTGAGGGCTTTTATACTCCTCGCCTATTGATACTCACCACTGGAGCCACCAATGACTATTGCCAATAGGATGTAGCTAAGGGAGGACCTGGACGGGCCCCATCACCGCCAACAAATACTTGTATTTTATAGGTAAACATTTGTGTGAAAAAATCTTTATACCGGCCAAGTCTAACTTATGCTCCTCGCTATGCCCCTATTGAACCGCCAAAGCCGACCAATGACCACTGCCCCCAGTAACTACCTCCGCCACTGACCAGCACTGCTGGCCAGTGATCTTGTCGACCACAATGAGCATTGTTCTACACTAACGGTCATTGGCCACAATGCATGACCAGTGTCAACCACAATCCCCATCACAAGGCAGGCAAGTACGCACCGCCAGTCGCAGTGACCACCGTCGTCCAATTAATTACTGTTAAAAAGAAATGGTCATTGTTAGTCAATGTCCCGCACTTTGCCTAATTTTGTGAGCATCACCCCAGCCCTTTTTTGCTTGTGATCGTCGTCGCTGCTCCATCCTGCATGTGGTTGCTGATACCTTTTGCTCCACACCAACCTCCACATCCACATGACCACCTCATTAACCCCCCCCCAATAACCAGACTCCTCATGATCCATCCCCATCCGCGCTCCACAGCTCCCTAGCCCCCTCCCAGCGTCCCCAATTGTCGCACCTTACACAAGAGACCTAAATGCCACCCAAATTTTGCTTGCACCATCATACATGATCAGTGAAACTGTCACCCCCGACAAACCTAGCATTGGCCACATCTCCCAATGCCTAACCCCGGCCCAATGTCGTGATCACGTCGGTTTTAGGGTTTCAATTTCTATATTTGTCTACTCAAAACTCATGAGTAATATTTTTCTCTGTCATATATATACTCTGTAATGTAGTTTGTATATATGTATGTATGAGGTTTCCCATAAATATTATTCCCTCCTTCCTGTTGGAAAGTTCCCGTTGGTAAATGGTCGCACGATTTAATAGTTAAATAAACTAATTTGGGTAAAAAAAAGGGAGGAAAGATAACCTTTAAACGGGACACCCTAATAATGAAAATGAGATCTTTCAACATGACGGAGGGAGTATTATATATATTGAAGTTAAATTTAAAAAAATATGATAAAACCTGACTATTTTATGCATGGACAAAAATGTAATAAAATTGGAAATTCATAATTTCACTACTAGTTTGGTATATGCCACCAATATCACTGCTCAAAAAAAATTGTGACTTATTCCACCAAATATTCACAAAATAGTATTGGAAAAAAATTCTGAAATTTTCCAGGAACCTTTCTGGCATCCGGCATCGACCGCGGATAGCTATTTTTACTTTTTTAGGGGCAAGAGTGGAACAAGGGTGCATATATAGTTGATTAGAAATTAAAATTAAAAGAAATGTACGTAAAGGTTAGTAATTAACACCCGTTCAAAAATAAAAGTAAATCATATTTCATCTTCCAAAATGTAGATGTAATATTTTAATACATCTACATTATCATGTTTAGGTACGTAAACACTGATTTTATTTTTCGTTAAATGATTTGTTTTTGTGGAAATGCAAAAGAGCTACTTATATAATTAAACGACTATCATACATAATGAAAACTGAGCAGGAAATATAATATCTTCGTCCACCTAAGATTTAGACATAAAAAGTGATGATCCAATAATTAATATAAAAAGTGAATTATATTACGTAGTAATATGTTGCAATCTTTTTCTATTTGATACCAGATAAGTTTGGTAGAGCGAACAAAAGATACAAAAGATACTGAAAGTAAATGGACGAATGACCATTATTTACTCATAAATTGAAGAAATGTTACATAAAATTACATAAATGATAGGGAACATATTTTTAATAATACCAACTATTCAAATATAGACCAAAAGTGATATTAAACAATTTTTCAATGAAAAGTTAATTATTTAATTCATCAAAAACTAGTATCCAAATATCAAATAAATGATTGTATTTTCAAATATCATTTATTTGATAAATTTTTATTAGTGTTTAATTTCATAAGTGACATAATTTCTTGTTGAAAAGTGACTTCATATTATTTTTATTTTATACTAAAATATTTTATATTATTAAAAATTATTTTCAAAGTATGTATTATGTAATTGTATCTAATAATCTGATATAGACACTCATTTCACGTGCTCTTTTAGCTGCACTACATGATGATCATTTATAGATGAAAAAGGTCAAATTATATATTCATGTACCTATAGCTAAGCTCCTCTTATATTTTTTTAAAGTACAAAAATACTCTAATAATTTCATCAAATGAGACTTTGGCTTTTAATTATCGATCTTTAAGTGCTAAAGATATTTTGAAATTACCAAAAGTAATTATCTAATACTCCCTGACCTCTACCTCTATATCTTAAATAACTACATATTTCCTTAAATGTGTTTAAATAAAGTCTTTTTTTTCTTATTAGTTTTAGAAGGTCTTGTCTATTTACTTTACTAATCTCAACTAATAATAACTTTATTTTAATAAAAACAATTAATGATAAAGTTATGATGTCAACTAATGTCAAAATTGAACAATGTTCTAACTAATTTTTCATGGAATACTCAAATGCATAATTTTTTTCTTAATTTAATTAATCAAATATATTTTAAATATTTGTTTTCCATATTTCAACAGAATCAACATCCAACCACTTTAATCAAAGTTTAAAAATTTTTAGTAGAATTAACAAATACAATCGATTTGGATATTACCAAAGAGGCTCTAAAACTGCTATGTTTCTCAAAATTTCAAAAAATGTCTTATCTAGCTAGTGATGTCAAACAATTACATCACCCTGGTTGCGATTTGGCATCATGAGTTGACTTACGGAGTACTCCAAATAATTTACGTACTCAAAGGATAAAGCAAATTTTATTTATTCATATATACTACTTAATTAAGAATAACATTTATTAGTGATCTTTATCAGTTATCACGAGTGCAACTAGTAAATCTCCCACCCACTCTAATTACTGCGTCTTATTGATATTTCTCCCTCCTCACTAACCCAGAATTCATAAGGTAATTACTCCTTCCTCTATCCTAATGCATCTTCAATGCACATCTATATCTCTCTTTGGCTACGAGTAAGTTTCAATATAGACATTTACTATGAATGATGTATGTGTTCTAGCTAGTTGACATGCATAGTGTGGAATATTTGCATCACACATTATGGCATACCAACTAATTAAGAATATACAAAATATATATTTACAAAAAAAAAATCTTAATAGTTAACATATAGTATATGGTGGAAAATGTAAATCAAGTCAGATTAATTATATTAATATTGTTAAATCTGTACAAGATAAAATAAAGTGATGATGGATAAAATATACGCCAATTTTTGCATTGCAAGTGCTTAAGCATCGATGTGATTTAATTTATAAATATGGAGAACGTAACATATATATTATTAAGGAGGATTATTGGCTTTCAGACTTTGTGAATCTATAGAAAACTGAATTGGTATATTATGTTAAAAAATTACTACCTCCATTCCGAGAAGATTCATCATTTTGACTTCTCTTGGTCAATGATCGATAACAAACCTTGGACAATGATTTTAATTATTATATTTATATATAATTTATAAATTTTATAATTGTAAAAAAAAATATTTTAATTTGAATAAGGAGCATTTTGATATAATTTTCATATTCTAAATAATTTCGTATTAAAAAATACCATTGGTCAGAGTTGATTATCATTAACTAAGAAAAGTCAAATTAGAACATAGTGAGTACTAACTATGATCACCTCATGCATGGTTTTGATGTTTATAGGTTTACACATCATATGAATTTTACTATTTGAAATACAGAAAATAAAAAGGATCCCATAGTTATAGGCAACTTCAATTCTCAATTCTGAGTTATATAGTTCTTTCATGAAGGCAGATTGCGTACCATTTCCAAGTGATACATTTCCGGTTCACTCATATTTTTCAATGAACTTATTAGAACCCAAAATTGTCCCGGACCATAGAATACCATGCATTACAAAAAGTAACATTATAAATTGACACATAATGCGCACGGAATACGCACAGATTAATCGACATTGCCACGGATAAAAATATAACTCATGAAGAAAGTCAGAAACGGCTAACGGCTTTGACACAAATCTAGCTAGTTAAAAACAAAACAAAGCAAATTATTATTACGGAGTATTATCATTAGGGTATAGTTAACAAAGCATATATATACCCCGAAATCCTAAAATACCCTCAGAGTACCAAAGACTCAGAGTTGTTTTTATTATTATACTAGTAATACTCCGACAAGACCCGATCGGGGTCAATTCTGGTCAACGTCGGAGCCGGAATCCCACGCTTCATCATCGGTGTCACTTTCTTCAAACGGCGGTGGCACATTCAAATCCCAGTCCCAGTCCAGGACGGCTTTCTTCTTCTTCGGCGGCGGCGCCACCTCCTCACTTGCCGGCGGCGACTGACGGTCGAGAACCAGACCGGCGGCAAGGGCTCTTTCGGCCTCGATTTCACGCATCTGCTCCTCCTCGGACTTCACGAGAAGGTGCTTGTACTCGGCGAACTCATCCATGCTGAAAGTCGGCGGGCGGTAGGCCCCACGCCACCCGCGATCCCTGTGGCACCGCAGGTGCCCGAACATCGCTCTCTCCGTCGGGAACACCGCCCCGCAAGTCTCGCAGACATGCCCGTCGTACGGCAGCGGCGGTGGTGATGGAATCGCCGCAACCGCACCAATTGACATGCCGCCGTCGTCGAGAAGGTTTTCCTCCGCTACCGGCCGTGACGGTGCATTGCTTCCCATGCTGAATTGATTTAACTTAATAGCCTAGCTGCTGGGTTATTATCTGATCTGTTGGAGTTCTTGCGAGTCGCTGTCAGGCTATATATAGTGCTGATCGATGGCTGATTTCTTTTTTCTTTTTTTGACGTACAACAAATTATTTTTAAAAATAAAATTGTATCGGGGTCAACCAAGTATTACGTACGTTCTATTAGATGGCAATGAGGCTGTTTGGCTACCTGTTATTCGGCTCACGAGTCTTATCAACCAACTTTTTCACCATACATGCTACTTTTTGCTTTCGCGCGCTGAATTTTATAATAAGCAGAAAAAGTAAGGTTGAAATTATTTTTCTGACTGTATTGGCTGAATTTACTGTAGATAACCATTTAATTTTACACATAATTTTTTCTTTATTTTATTAGTAAAATATATTTTAAAATTAATTTTTTCTCAAATCAGCAGAATCAGCCAATGCAGCCACTTCAGCCAGAACTTCATAAATTTTAGCAGAATCAACCAAAACAGCTAATTTTTGTGCTACCAAACGAGCTTAGTATTAGGGAGAGTGTAACAGTATATTCAAGTATTTTTTGTGAGTAGTATTAACAGAAATGGTGATAAATAGGAGGTAGAAATGAGTCCTTAAAAGTAGGATTACTACTTTTTAAATTCCCTAGATTAAACATTGTTTTTGTACCATAAATACCTAAGGGTATTAATTCATAATGAAATGTTTTATTTCATAATAAAATCTTAAAAAAATCGTATAAAAATAAATAAATTATTTATAAATTGAAAATCTCAAAAATATTTTTTTTTTGATTTTTTTTAAAATAATAAGAAATGGTAAAACCCATAAAAGATATGGATACCTTTCCAACTGCCTCCCAGTACCACCACCTCCGAACGGTGAAATTTTTGCGCTTTTTTAATTTGTAAAAACAAATGCCATATATCTTTTTTCGAAAATGCCAAGAAAATGGCATAATTACTCTTCACTATGCTAAAATTTTCATTGAATCTGCCATCATTATGTCATTATTTAAAATGTTGGCTGCACTTTCTCCGGTGATGGGAGCTGGTGGTGCCGGGGTGTCATTTTTTTACGTTTTTAATTTTTTAAATTTTTTTAATACTTTTTTTATTTTTTTAAATTTTTATTTTTAAAATATTTTATTAAATTTTTGTTGTTTTTTACGATTTTTATTATCGTTTTCAATTTTTTAATTTTTTAATGATTTTATTATTAATTCAAAAGCTACAAGAGTACATTATTCGTATTTAGTTAATTGACTCTAGTATTAGGTCACTCCATTTGTAGCACAATTGAGTATTAGATTCATACAATTGAGTATCATTAAAAACATGTAATATATATATTATCAATCAACTTATTCATTTAAGGGAAAATGTAGAAATATACCTCTGTATTATGGTATGTGGGAACAAGTATACCTCTTTTTTGTCTATTTTTCGGAACAAATATACTCTTGAAATATGTACCCCTGAACTCTTAAAATGTGCAAAAAAGACCTTCATTTTCTTATAAAGGAACAAATTTACTCTTATTTACTTTAAATTGATAAAATAAATTAGCGATCAGCAGGATCTCCTTTTATGTGTCTGGTCAAACTGATGATCCGGAAAATTCTTCTCAATTGAGTTCCTTTGTTCGTTGCTGGTCAAACCAATTTTTCCTTTGCGGTGATTGGTGAAGCCGGATCTTTTAGTTGTAATTTTCTATTTTCTCTTTGGAGTAGCAAGAAGAGCAACAACACTCTTAGACTAGATAACATTATTGTGCGCAGGGATGGAGTTATGTAGTGGGTTAAGGGGGCCATCCCCCCCCCCCCCCCCCAAATAAATTATGATGGCAATTGGGCTAGCCTTAAGTCTATATTTTTAAATTTTATATTTGGAAGATTTGCAATTTTAGTCCTGTAATTTTTTACTTGAAAGCACTTTTTGACAAAAAAATCGACATTGACGGCATATTTTGCGGCGAATTATCTGTAGAAAAATGTACTTTCCTGGGGTAAGTACTTAAATATATTGCAAACAATTATTAGTTGCATAACCAAATTTGAGAGTAAGTGATGAAGTACTAGAACTAAAAATTAAACGAGCACATAGTAAGTTTGTGGGGCCAAAATTGCACATTTTTCTTTACATTTTAATGCATGTATTACATTTCGGCGGGCCCTTATAGTGAAGTATGGTCCGCCCTTGATTGTGGGATTAGCGATCTGGAAGAATTCATTGGATCGTTCACATTCTATGTCTCATCTCATTGTAGCTTTAGACTATTCATTCTCTTGTCTCTTTGCTATCTTTAAATAATAAATTAGTTATTTGATTTAAAAAAAAATGTAAGTAACACTTAAAAAAAGAGTGTGTTATTTCTAGCTTATTGGCCAAAAATTACAATCATTTATTATACAAAACACTACTACATTAAATACTCATTTTTTCCAACAATTAATTACAATATTTTACTTTTCATAACTTTTGAGTTGCTAATAGTATATAGGGAAAAGTACAAAAAAGATACTTGTGGTTAGGTTCGTTTTCAGATATGGTCATGTATTTCATTTTTTATCAAAGTGGTTCATGTGTTTGAATTCTGTTATCACAAGAGGGTCACACAGTTAAAACGCCTGAGAAAAACGATCAATAGTAACTCCGATTTTCAAAAGTGCCCAAAAATTAAAAGAAAATTGCTAAAAGGTGCGCCTCATCAAGATGACATCCAAACCACCTCATCTTTGGACTTTTCGGATTTTTTAAAAATGATTTCGCTAATAACACTTTTTCCGGTGGACTTTACGGTGATAAGGGTGGTTGGAAACAAAAAAGATGGCCTAACGATCGTCTTGTTGAGGCGCACCTTCCGAGATTTTTCTTTTAATTTTTCGGGTACTTTTGAAATTCAGAGTTAATATTAACCGTCTATCTTAGACGTTTTTAACGGCATGACCCTCTTGTGATAACGGAATTCAAACACATGAACCGCTTTGATAAGAAATGAAACATGTGACCCTATCTGAAAATGGACTCAATCACAAGTACATTTTCCATACTTTTCCCTAGTGTGTGTGTGTTGGGGCGTTGGGCACAAGTGGATGAAAAGATCATTTATTGAGCTTTCTAGTAGTTGCTAGCATTTAATCTTTAAATAAATTTTAAAATAAAAATATTACAATTGTTCTTACAAGTTAAGTGTATAAATAAATTCCTTTCTCTTAGAAGTTCATTAGTCAAATTATGTAGCTTAAATTAAGAAAATCTGACAAATTTAAAACAACTACTAAAAGTAAGCGTTATAAACATATACTAGTACTAGTCTACTAGGTACTAAATTGAAAGGAACTATCAACTACGTACTACGTAGTTAAGAGTATAGATATTTTGCAAATGTTACAAAAGCTACATTAAAGTGATTTATATCTCTCAAACATACATTAGGAGGCTCTTTGAATTGGTGGCCCGTTTTTTTGCCATAACTTCATAAATTTCAGCAAGATCAGTCACTGCAACTGATTTGGATATTACCAAGCTCTATAGAGTAGGTGCTATGTTACTAAAAAGTTCAAAAAATGTCTTATCTAGTGAGTAATGTCAAACATACATTACCTTACCTTGGTTGCTACTCCCTTTGTCGCTTAAAATTTTGCCAATTGTTTCATAGGCACATGAATTAAAAAAGTAAAATCTGTGTGGTTGATATTTGTGCACAGGAGAAAAAATTAACTGGAATCATAAACTCTTTACTTAATAGGGAGTGACAAAATTAGGGGGGCAACCAATAAAGAAAAGTTACAAAGTTTTAATGGACGGACGAAGTATTTGTCATCACGAGTTGACTTAAGGAGTATATTTTACGTCCTCTAAGGATAATGCTCATTTAATTTTTATTTAGACTATCTCCAATGGTTTTTTTTGAAGACTTGCTTGCAATTTTAAAACAAATAACTTACCATTAGAGCATTGCTTTTCCTTTGGCTTGACAAAGCTAATTAGCCAAATGAGCTACTAACTTCTTGAACATAGAGAATTATCAAATATAGCATTATTAATAATAAATGAAGGGGGGGGGGGGGAGTTATAGCTAACCATCATACTAGATTTTAATTTTGATGCAAATGCTTAGGTGGATAGTCACGCTATGAGGATGATTAACTAACCCCTAGAGATGCTCTTAGTGATCTTTCTCACGAGTAGAACTAGAAAACCTCCAACCTACTCTAATTAATTCGTCTTATTAAATTAATATTACTACCTTCCTCCCCACTAACCCCAGAATCCATAAGGTAATTACTCCTTGCTCTATCCTAATTCATCTTCAATGCACATCTATGAGCCCGTTTGGTAGCATGAAAATCGGCTGTTTTGGCTGATTCTGCTGAAATTTATGAAATTCTGGCTGAAGTGGCTGTTTTGGCTGATTCTGCTGATTCAAGAAAAAAATATTTTATTAATAGATTATAGAAAAAATTACATGTAAAAATAGCTAAAATAGTCCTCTACAGTAACTTCAGCCAATACAGCCAGAAAAGTAACTTCAACCTTACTTTTTCTGCTTATTACACAATTCAGCACACAAAAGTAAAAGTTACGTGTTTGGTGAAAAAGCTGGCTGATAAGCCTGATAAGCCGAAAAAAGAGATCTCCAAACGGGCTCTATATCTCTCTTTGACTAGAGTAAATTTCAAAATAGACATTTACTATCCATGATGTATGCGTTCTAGCTAGTTGACATGTATAGTATGGAATATTTGCATCACCCATTAACGCATACCAACTAATTAAGAATATAACAATATATATATATATATATATATATATATATATATATATAGGGATGAGTTCAAATGAGAAGACATCTTAACGTGTAAAATAACGCATCAAATAACGCTTATTCAAAAGTGCATCAGATAGGGGTTATTGTGCATCAGATCGACACTTTGGATGGCTGAGATTAATTCTCATTTTACACGTTAAGACTTTTTTTTTTTATCCAAATTCTATATATATATATAAAAGAAAAAATATTTAATATTTTTAAGCCTTAAT